GGGTCCTGGAGGTCCGGGAAGGGCTGGGATATCCCTGGGAATGGGGGTTCTGGGGGTCCTGGGAGGGGTCCTGGGGGATCCTGGGGGTCTGGGAAGGGCTGGGATATCCCTGGGAATGGGGGTCCTGGGGTTCCTGAGTGGGCTGGGGGGGTGAGAGGGTGGGATATCCCTGGGAACTGGGGTCCTGGGGGTCCAGGAAGAGGTGGGATATCCCTCTGAATTGGGGTCCTGGGAGGGGTCCTGGGGGATCCTGGGGGTCTGGGAAGGGCTGGGATATCCCTGGGAACTGGAGTCCTGGAGGTCCAGGAAGGGATGGGATATTCCTGGAAATGGGGGTCCTGGGGGTCTCGGGGTGGCTGGGAGGGTGGGATATCCATGGGATATCCCCCTGAGGGATCCTGGACGGTGGGATACCCATGGGAATGGGGGCTGGAGTGGTGAGGTCCCCCTGGGAATGGGCACTGCTGGTGAGTGCCAGGGGATCCCGGGATCCTGGGGGGTCCTGGGGGTTGGGACAGACCTGGGAACAGAGACCCAGGGGTTCCTGGGGGGGCCGAGGGGGTGGGACACCCCTGGCACCAGGGACACCCCTCCCCAACAGCCTCTCGCCCCCTCCAGCCTGGACAATTTGCTGAACGTGGCGTACGGGGTGAAAAGGTAACACCTCCCCCCGCCCCTAAACCCCTCCAAACCCCCCCAAACCCCCCCAAACCCCCCTAAACCCCCCCCCACAGCCTGGGGGGGGTGTAGGGGACCCCCCCGCTGACCCCAGGCCAGCCCGTTGTCGCTGCTGCCCAGGTTCTCCCCGCTGGCCATCGAGGCGGTGCCGGCGCTGGCCGGGGTGGGCCTGGGGACCCCCGGCCCCGGGTGGTGCATCTTCGTCTACAACCTGGCGCCGGAGGCGGACGAGAGCGTCCTGTGGCAGCTCTTCGGGCCCTTCGGGGCCGTCACCAACGTCAAGGTCATCCGGGACTTCGCCACCAACAAGTGCAAAGGCTTCGGCTTCGTCACCATGACCAACTACGAGGAGGCGGCGCTGGCCATCGCCAGCCTCAACGGGTACCGCCTGGGCGACCGCGTGCTCCAGGTCTCCTTCAAGACCACCAAGCAGCACAAGGCCTGAGGGGCGGCCACGCCGGGGGCCACCGGCCGGGCGCGGGGTGGCCTGGGGCCGCCGGCGGGTTGTGGGACCCCCATATCCTCCATGGGCACCGTGGAGAAACCCAACTGGAGACCTTGAGGACCTTCAGGGATCTCCCGTGGGCACCATGGGCACCGTGAAGAAACCCAACTGGAGACCTTGAAGATCTTGGGAGACCTTCAGGGATCTCCCATGGGCACTGTGGAGAAACCCAACTGGAGACTTCGAGGATCTTTGGGGACCTTCAGGGATCACCCGTGGGCACTGTGGAGACCCAACTGGAGACCTCAGAGACCTTCAGGGATCTCCCATGAGCACCATGGACAAACCCAACTGGAGACTTCGAGGACCTTTGGGGACCTTCAGGGATCACCCATGAGCACCCATGGAGACTGTGGAGAAACCCAACTGGAGACCTCGAGGATCTTTATGGACCTTCAAGGATTACCCGTGGGCACCGTGGAGATCGTGGAGAAACCCAACTGGAGACCTCGGAGACCTTGGGGACCCCCTGTGAGCACCAAGGACACCCTGGAGACCATAGAGAAACCCAACTGGAGACCTCGAGGATCTTGGGGGACCTTCAGGGATCTCCCATGGACACCATGGAGAAACCCAACTGAAGACCTCGGGGACTTTCAGGGGTCTCCCATGAGCGCCACGGAGACCGTGGGAAAACTCAGCTGGAGACCTGGAGACCTTGGGGACCCCCCGTGAGCACCAAGGACACCCCAGAGACCCCAGAGAAACCCAACGGAAGGTCTCGGGGACCTTGGGCACCCCCTCCATGGGCACCGAGGGCACCCTGGGTCTGCAGGGTGGAGAAACCCACCCGGAGAGCTCGGGAATCTCCCCCCCCGTGAGCACCGAGGACACCCCGGAGGCCTCGGGGTCTGAGGGCACCGAGGGCACACCTGAGGCACGGCCTGGGCACCCTCACCTGTCCCCAGGGCTCCTCCAGGTGTTCCAGGACACTCGGTGGGGGGGGAGGCCCTGGAAAGCCTGGAGACCCCCCCAGGACGCTGCAGACACACCTGGGACCCCCCCTGGGTACCCCAACCCCACCACTCCGGCGGTGGCCGGACCACCTGGAGCGGTGCCCCCCCCTCACCTGATCCAGGTGTGTCCAGGTGCCGAGTGGGGGCTGTGCCCCCCCCCTTCCCTCCGCTCCAGGACTCCACGGGGCTGGGGGGGGGCAGGGGGGAGGTCTCTGCTCGCTCTCTCCTCCTTTCCATGTTTTTCCTTAATTTTTCTGGGGAGGGGGAGGAATTTCTGGGGAGAAAGAACAAAAAGATGAGGATTAATCCCATGTTTAATTAGACACCCGTTATCAGGTAACGAGGAATCGCCGCCGACGCGAGGAGTGGCGACTCCTTGGGAGCCACAGACCCAAATCCATCTATTTTTATAACAGAATATTAAAAATATCCTGAAAAAATCCCCAAAATCGCCTTTCCAGAGGGGGTGGGATCCTGGTTTGTGCCCCCCAAGTTCCTTGGAAGCAGCTTTTAACCCCCCAGCGGGGTCACGGCGTGTTTTGGGGGGTCAATGGAACTAAAACTTCAGGGATTCCCTCTGGAACCCCCAAAATTTTGGCTGGGGGGGGGGGTCTTGTCACGCTTCCCCCCCCCCCCCCCCCCGCCTTCCCCAAATACCCCAAAATGGGCATTTTTTGCCCCAAATTCCTCCGCTCGCTGGGGTTTGGCCACTTGGAGCCAAAAAACAGGCGGAACTTCCCCCCCCACCCCAAACCCCCAACCCCGAGTCTCCTGTCCTCATTATAATTGTTATTATTCTTAATTATTCTTAATTATTCTTCTTATTATTAATTATTATTATTAATTATCGTTGTTGTTGTTGTTATTATTATTATTGCGGTTCTTATTTATTTTCCCTTCGCCGCCGGGATAATTTCTCGCTTTTCAGTGGTTTATTTCCGATTTATTTCCAATTCTTCCCTGCTTTTCCCCCAATCCTGGGACCCTCCCAGGACCCTCTTTTTCCCCTGGGACCCCCCCCTCAAGCCCCTTCCTGGCTCTTGTATTTTTTTTTGTGTCGTGCCTGTGTGAAGCTTCTTGTAGTTTTAATTATTATTAATATAAATATTTAGGAGGGACCCCCCCGTGTCCAGATCCGCCGTCACCCCCCAAACTCTGACCCCCACCCCCTTTCCCGGGGATCCAGCCCTGGAATTCGGGGGGAGAACGGGGGGACCCCCAATTCAGTAGCAATAAGGGGGTCCCCACCTCAGCCCCGGCCGATTTTTGGGGGGGGCCCAACGAGGGGACAAAACGTGCCCGGGGAACCCCCCCTGTGGCACCGCGGGACCCCCCGGAGGGGACCGGGACCCCCCCCGGCCCCCACCCCTGGACTCGACTCTTTGTATTTTTCATGGGAAAAAAAAATCAATAAAAAATTTTAAAAGTTGGAATTCGGTGTGTTTTTTTGTGGGGAGCGTCGTGGACCAGATGGCTGGGGGACCCCCGGCCTTCCCTCTCACGTTTCCCACCATTTTCCCCTCAAGTTTCCCACCCTTTTTCCCTCACGTTTCCCACCCTTTTTCCCTCACGTTTCCCACCCTTTTTCCCTCACCTTTCCCGCCCTTTTCCCCTCACGTTTCCCGCCATTTTCCCCTCACATTTCCCACCCTTTTCCCCTCACATTTCCCTCCATTTTCCCCTCATGTTTCCCGCCCTTTCCCCCTCACGTTTCCTTCCTTTCCCCCTCACATTTCCCACCCTTTTCCCCTCACGTTTCCCGCCCTTTTCCCCTCATGTTTCCCACCCTTTTCCCCTCATGTTTTCCAACATTTTCCCCTCAGGTTTCCCACCATTTTCCCCTTACATTTCCCACCCTTTTCCCCTCACGTTTCCCGCCATTTCCCCCTCATGTTTCCCTCCATTTTTCCCCCTCACATTTCCCGCCCTTATTCCTCAAGT